TTTGTCCAGACCCCATACTGAGTGCAGTCCCAGTTCCTTTCCATGAGGTAGCATTGTAGTGCTGCAACGGGTCCTTTTGCCACTTGCCAAGGATATTGTGCCTGGCTGAGCTTCTCCTTGATGGCTTGCCACGCGCGGTCCAGACACTTGTGAGTGGCTTCCGGCCAGTTGCCATAGAATCTCCGGTAAATGCGGACTTGAGCCATGAAGGAACCATAATCTGGATCTTGGCGTCGATCTTGCATGTCGTACAGGATGTCAATGTTTCCTGTACGTTGCAGGCCAAGCTGCCTTCCCATTGTGGTCTTAAGCTTCCTCCGTACTTGAGGAGCTAGGCCCATGGCTTCATGCCCCCAAGCAATGCCCGCAACAATGCTGCCCTTGTACAGTTTGAGTCTGATGCTTCTTTGCGGGATCTTGAGTGTGGCCAGCTTTTTGGTCTTTCTGGCAGCCTTGCCACGCCTATTGCGCATGGTTTGAATCCGCCGAAGGCGGCCCGCCGTGCAGTCCACCCCCAGATCCCTCATCACATCATGGACCTTGGGACCATTGGCCGGCAGCTGCTGTTGTAGAAGCCGTTTGGCGGTGCTATTGGAAGCAATGAATCCAGTCTTCTTTTCCGAGATCTTGAGGTTGTCTTCTTCAAGTAGTTGCTTGATACGTTCATATGCTTGGATGGCAATCCTGACAGCATTGGCCGGATCCCTATCAACCACATCAAAGGACAGGTCATCAATCCACAGGTCCGTGTGGAGCTGGGGATACTTCTTGTGGAAGGATTTCATAGCATTGTACAGGTAGACTTTGGCCGCTAGAGGAGCTTGTGGATCACCTGCAAGGATGCCATTTTCCGTCCAGAGCTGCTGCGATGCCTCGCCTTCAGCTTCAAGAATGCGGCCGCCCAAGTACAGCTGCATGGCAAAAGCTGCATGCGTGGGTGGATAGTTTGAATCCAGCCACCTGTTGCAAAGGGCCTCGAGCTTGATGCGGTCATAGAAGTTGGACATGTCCAAAAGCACCGACACCACCGTACGTTTCATAGAGTTGTGGTGTTCGGTAAGGAAGGCACGGCGCAGGGCCACTTGCAAACACTCCGTTCCTGGTCTGTAAAGGGTGGCAACCAGGGCAATGGGCCTTTCAATATCGGCTGATTTTGGCAGCAAAGCGATCAAGGATGTTGTCCATTGCTGTGGGATCACTGCCTGTGCCTCCAGCTGATGGAAGACCTGCGCTATGTCTTGCATGGCCTGGTATGGGAGGGCCTTCAGGAAGTCGAAGCCAATGCCATCCAGACCCGGTGCCTTTAAGCTGAGGTGCTTGATTGTGTGCCAGATCTGCTTTGGGTGGAGCGGTGGCATGTGCTGTCCGAACTCGGCTCCTTGTCGAATGAGTTCTTGGAGCTGCGGCAAGTGAAGTGGTTCTTGTCGAATGCTCCAAATAGCGCCCCACTGTTGTTTCCTGCTCTCCATTCTCTCCTGTCTGGGCTGATCTTGGAAAGGTCGTAGGTAGGCCAGTTCATCCTTCTTCAAGGTGCGATACAAGCCTCTGCAGCCTTTCTGTGTTGCTTTGGTGAGCCATTCACGATAGGTCTGTGTTTCAGCATCGATCGCCTGCGTCTGGTGGAGCTCTCTCTGTTGCGCAGTATGCTTCAACAACACATGTAGATGTTCTTCATCATGTGGCCCCCAAAGCATCTGAAACAACATGTGGAAGCTGTCGACAGTGATGGGACAGTCACCATGCCAGTGTTCCTCAATGTGCCAAGCTAGCCTCTGTAGGTGTTGGAGAGTCGGCTCAGCCCAAGGATGCTGCAGCATTTGCTGTAGTCGCACTTCAATTTGACCCCAAAAGGCCAAACTACCTCTCTTCCAGATCCAGGGTTTGCTGGGGTCCTGTATAGGCTTGTGCTGTAGCTGAAGCTGTGTTCCTCCGCCCAACGTAGGCCTGTCAAGGCCTTGCAACACATATCGTTCGATTTTGTGACACAGAGCCCCCACTTGCTGAGTCGCCGGAGTTGTGGGCTTGTCCAACCAGTGGACAGGCACTTCGACATATTCAATCTGATACCATTCCTTTGCCGGTTTCATCATCTTGGGTGCTGGATTGAATTTTTGGATTTGTTGCACAGCCACTGGTTCCAAGTCTTGTGTCCAGTTGAAGATCAGCTGTGCGTGCGGTTTGAAAGGCACCTCCCAACAAGCTTTGATCGAAAGGTCCGCCACCAGACTCGTGGAGACCAATGCCCAGTCAAGCTCATTGCCACTATGGCACGTCGCCTCCCCTGTAGCCAGGACTTGAACCTGCATGATGGTGCCCATCGTGGTAGTCATGAATTCTTCTGGGGAGGTGTTGAAGTCTCCTGCAATGATGATGTGTTTGGTCATGCTGGTGACAAAGGAGATGAGGCCAGCCCAAAGCTGTGCATTGATGTGTCCCTGAATGCCCTCTCCCGTCCGGAAATAGGCCATGACCAAAATGGCATCCATGTTGGCAAAGGTCCATTGTGCAGCGTACCATCCACATCCCTCAATCACCTGCTTGTGAATGAAGTGGAAGTGCATGTGCGCTGGGTAGAGCAGCATGTGTCCTCCATGGGTGCCCCCTTTGATGCTCTCAGCAGCCGGCCACCCCAAAACCCCAAAACCTCGTGCTGCAAACCATTGACTGGTTTTGGCAAAGTCCTCATGGTTGAGATGTGTCTCAACGAGCATGATTGGCGTTCTAGGCCTTGAGAGTAGCCATTGCCGTACTTGATGTCCTAGCTGTGTGACATTGGCAAATGCGAAATTGATGCCAACTAGCTTCTTCCTCTTGTGGGACGGTTGTTCCTCTAGTTGCTCAATGCAGCCACTAGGGAATTCACTTTTGATGTCCTCTGGGAGGAGTTCAGCTGAAGGGATCGCCCAAACCTGAACTATCTGCCTCTTGATGCTGTCAGTAAGCTCTGGGATGGGTCGTGGGTAAGAAACATCGTCTACCAGCCAGAAAACTCCCCGGTACACATAGACAGCATAGTAGTGTCCTTGTTTGTGTTGCTCTCCGGAGTGACACAAGAGACCGATCAGGGAGTACTGCTCCGTTTTGGTCATGTTGCCGTCCTCCGTGTAGGGAAGGTTGGAGATAGTGGGCACATTCAGTACCTGGTGGTGTTTGGTCCATTCCCCTTCTCGCAGCTCATAGCGGCCGATTTGGCCTACCCAAAGTCCTCGACCATCCGCCACTTGTCCTTCAGCTGTGTTTGCCCATTCCGAAATGAGCTGTTCCAGCTCTTGTTCATGTTCCGTCCACTGGGAGATGAGGTGGATCGGAAAAGATTCACGTCTGTGCACTTGTTGCCTGTAGTCCACATGGTAGTAGCCCTTGATCACCTTCTCTGAGTTGGCAAGTCGGGCCAAGTCCATGAGGAAATGTGAGGCATCGTCTTGTACTTGATCATCAAATGTTTGCCAGAGCTGTCTCAGCGTAGGCAGTTTGGTGATGTTCACTACTCCATCATCTTTGAGGGCCGCAATGACTGCCGCCCCCGTTTGGTTCCAGAGCTGTGGTCCACCAAGAAAGCTTCCCGCCCAAGACCACAGCCGGAAAGGTGCATTGGCAAAACACCGGTTCCGTGGAGATTTTGGAGGACGTAGTCCAAGGTCGTCTGTCCTGATGTAGGAGGGTCCTCCACCAGGATCATGTTGTCATCATCAAATGCAGGCTCATGTTCTGCCATGTCACCTGCACCCCCACAAAATCTTGGAACAGCTAAAGGCCGCTCCTGAAAGGTCAGCCGCGCTTCATGAGCTGACGCCCCAAAACCACAGGCGTTCTGCACCTGTGTCTGCCCCTGTTGGTCTGAGCCAAAGTGCACATGGCCATCAGGCAAAATTGCATCAATCACCCCTTGATGCCTAGCCTCAGACGCCCATGTGGTTTCCCATGTGATTGCCATCTCATGCTCATGCACAGGGTTACCCGCACTTCCTTCTTTTTGCTGCCGTTTCCTCAATCTGCTTTGCAAAATCCGTGACCTGCTCTGCAGTGGCTTGTACACCGACTTTGGCCAGGATCGTCATCAGCTTTTCAGGTGCTAACGTGAAAGTGTCCTCTTCAGCAGCAGCTTCTGTCTTCTCCTTCTCAATCTGCTGGTTGTACAAGGTAGTTGTATCCTGCAGTTCTTTCTGAGCCGTCTCAAGCCTTGCCTGCATCTCCTTCAGCTCTTGCAGCAATGCTGTGTATTGAGCTTTGACTGAATCCGCTTTGTGCTGCAAAGAAGCCTTCTTTTCGGCCAGTTGCTTCAGCTGCCCAACAGATTGCTTGAGCTTAGTTGCCAAGGTGGGTTCAGGTTTGTCAGGCTCCACCAGTTTGCCAACTGCCTGCTTGAGGTCACTCGGCAAACTCTCTAAATGCTCCTTGATCAAAGTCGGCAAGTCAGGTGGTGCTGGTGGTGTCTCAGCCTGCATTCCAATGGCCTCACATTGGGTCTTCAGGGCACTGGGTAGTGACTCCCAATGCTCTTGCACCGCTTTCTGTAAGGCACTGATCTTGACCTTCTTGGTCTTTTTGGGCCTGTGGCCACCCGCTAGCCCTGGTGGCGGCTCCAAAAGAGCTTGTTTGTATGTCCGGACAGGCCATTTGTGACCCCCTTGGGTGAAATTCCACTGAGCCCATTGTGTCTGTCGTCTGCCAGCCTTGAGGTCTTGTAGGCCTTGTCCCTGCCAGGCCGCCCCACATTGCCTGCATGTCAGGTTGTGATCCCGGACCAGCCTGTCCTGCCAAATCCAGTTGCGGTTGCAATGCCTACAGACCATGTATGGTCTCTGCATCCTTGTTCTGGTAGGTGTCCTTGTCCTCGAGAAAGGGATCACCTCCTAGTTGCCACCGTCGTAGATGGCCGCGACCGTTCGCCGCGTGAGCCGGTGTTGTATGGGCCCGGCTTGAGGCTGAGATGGCTTGAGCCTTGAGCCGGTCGTGAATGAATGAATATAAATTATATATATATATATGTGTATATATCATTATATATCATATGAATTCATATGACAAAGAACCCATGATCCATGGCTCCAGCACTCATCGCTCGCCTCAAAGAGCCCCAACATCATGCTGCAGGCTTCGCTCACACCCAACACCGAGTTACCCCCGTCGCTGCCGAAGTATTGAAAGCCCAGCGGCATGGCAGCGTAGCCCAGGGGCGTCGTGCTACCCTCTCCGAAGACCCAAATGAGGCCCGGTGGGTCCTCCGAACACCCGGGGGTGGGTCCGCGGACCAGGTCCAGTCAGCTCTGAAAAGAGCGGATGTGGAAGGGGAACAGGCAGAACAGGACAAAAAAATGGATGTCCGCGAAGGAAACAGCTGGCAAATTGTTTAAACATGTTTGATCATGTTTAAATGTTAACAAAAGAAAGAATGACTCGCTGCTGTTTCTCCCATGTAGCCCATCGCCGGCCCATTCACCCAAAAAAAGCATGCCTTTGAAGAGGTCAAGCCCTGTCCTTCTGCATGCGCATGTACAAGCGAGCAAAGAGCTCAACTCCTCGAAACAATGCCCCAGCACGGCAGGGCAAATCGGGGTTGGCCTTGGCCTGAGAAGGAAAGGCGAAATGACTGCAAATCAGCGTATCATAGCATCTCAGCTTGTCTAGAAAGCTTGACAGCTCCATATCTGTTGATCATTCTTATCATTCCCTATCGATATATCTATCACTCAAGTCTCAACACTCACCTGCTGGGGGCGGTCGATCATTTCAAGTAGGTAACATACAATCGAAGAAGATTCGAGGTCACGAAAGCCCACTGGAACCTGCTCACAGCCCCACGCAGAATCTTTGTGCAACAAACGAGAACCAATCTCAAAGCGCAAAACCACCGCTGGTTGGAGAAGCCATTTGCTTCAGTTGGAGCCCCATCGCTGGTAGGTCGCTCTGCAGTCGACATGAAGTTCACCATAGACATAGCCCACAAAGCACCGGCCTCGACGAGCAACTGCGCGACGGACCTGAGGACCAAAACAGGATGCCACAAAGAATTGCAGGGTGTTGGCAAATCTGGTACCTCACGTATGTTTTCTCACATGAGAAAAGATCATACTATGGCCTCAAATTGATCAGAGTGCACCTCCAATGTTGCGGGTCGTTCATGCCGCCCCAATGCATGGAAACCTAGTTTTCACCAGCTTCAAGAACCATGGCTGGCGGAGACTACAAGAGGATTGGAGGAGCCAAATGAGCTACTCAACTCGTCATTCATTGGTGCAAACAAGCTTAAAGCCATCCGAAGTAATTACTTGCAAATCAAGTCGCAGGGTATGAGAGTTCACTCGAGCATTGATAGCTAAAGAGTGCAAAGGAGAGAGGCCCAAGCCTCCTGATCGTCAAGCGAGCGCATCAAACAGCCCAACACCAACAGACTCAAGGCGAGCTCGCCACATATCCAGAGCAAAGCCAAGATTGAGATTCGGCAATCTGGGAGATGTTCAACCATATTCAAAGCTCTTCCACATGCTGCCACATTCCAAGCTCTTCTCTCTGTCCTTGGACCAAGTTCACATCTGCCTTCAGCTTGATGAACGACTCAAAGACCTCTGGAGGGGCACACCTGACTGGCCGAAACACAGAAGAACTCCTTGGGTGGTCAAGTGGAGCTGAGATCACAATACGCGACCTTTGAGAACGTTCAAACAAGTCCGCTAGTCAACTAGAATTCACCCCCGGGAGAAACGCGATCGGTTTTTGGCCAGTTGCACATGGACAAAGTCTCCCAGTCGGGCTCACACTCCCTCAAACCGTCTTAAATCGATTCAACTCCTGACCCAAGAGATGACTTGCAGTCCAGTCCTGACTTTGATTCCTCAAATCTTAAACTCCTGAGTTCCCTCCCGCCCTGCCTTAGACAGGCCAGGACCAAGGGCGAGGCCATCGTGGGTGGACCTTGCAAAAGTAGATTAAAGAGCACAAAAAGAGTATCTGAGGCTATCTGTAAGTAGGTGGACAGTGGACAGAAATAATCAGGAAGAGAGAGAGAGAGAGAAGGAAAAAGAATAACTAAAAAATGTGTGTGTGTGTGTAAACAATTTGAACAGTGGGATTCATAGGCGGAAATACCGCTGGCAGAAGGTCCCCATGCACCAAACGCATCCCCAGACCTTGTGAGAGACCTATCTCATTGCGAGACCCGAAAAGGAAAAGGGAATCTTATGGATTTATTTTGCCTTTCTCCGGGGATTCCACCTGACATACCTCGCCACTCCAAGAACCCAAAACACGTGCACGCGCAGCCGGGGTTTTTGGGGTCGAGGGGCTCAGCTTGTTGACGTCGGCGCGCTTCTCCACCAGCAGCTCCACCGCTTCGGCGGTGTCACAAATGCCCAGCAGAGGGTGACCCAAGCGATTGCTGGCGTTGGGGTCACCACCTCACTAGCGAGGGAGAACAAGAAGGTGACTCGGCAGTTCGGAGTCAGATTCTAACGTGACCATGCACCACGTCTAGAATCTTGATGGTTTAATGCCAATATGGCAACGACACAATCAATTTCCTACGTGGTATACTTGAGGTTTTGAAGGTTAGGGGCGATCCTGTAGCCCTGGGATGTGGTTTCGAGGGCAGCCTTGCTTCCAGGAAGGTGTGACGGGGGATTTCACAAAAATGGCTGGTAGGCTTTGCTGCTCATGGTGTGCCAACGTGGCTGGGTGAGAATTCTGAGTCCTTTTGTAACAGGAGAAAGTGAATCTAATGTTTTTTCCTGTGGGTCTGCTGGGATTTTCACTACTTCGGAGAATAGACTCACTAGACACTTGAAACACCTATATATGTAATGCAATTGCATGCAAGTGCCATTCACATGCTTGTGTGGTTTTGAGAGCACCGATCGTGAAATGACTTCAAATTGATCAGAATTGAAGCTCCAATTTCGTTGCAAAAAACAGCGCGGAGTGACGCATGTTGAGCGGAGTGACGCAGCTCGAGAAGCGCTGCCAGGCTCTCAATGCTGTTGCTGCTGTGTGCAGTGGCGAGGTGTAGCGGAGTCCAATCCTGAAAGGAACACCAACAGGTCTGTTTCTTTCAAAATGAGCATACCCAACGCAAAAGCAACAGTATTACTTTCAGAGATCAACATCACCCCAGGTGGCAATAAAAAACAATTACCAAGCCAAGGGGAGCCGCTTGGCCCCTTCTGTTCATCCCCTGAGTTATTCCGGCAACTCACCTCCACCTTGCCCAGCCCAGGTGCTGGCAGGATGTCCACCTGGCATGTCCAAGAAGAGTCTGACAAGTTTAGTTTTAAGTGGATCGACCCCTTATCCGCGCTGTCGAAAACTTTGCCAAAGATTGCACGCCCAGCCAACTCTCCGCTCAATACTGTATCCCCTCATTCCCAGCCCAAAGCCCTCCCCACGACCACCTGAACCGCTCGCCGTGGAAACCTTCGCGCCCGCCTCCACGATCGCTGGCAACGGCACATCGAGCGGCGCCTTCAACGCTACCAGGTGCCGCACCAGGGACACGTCCTCAGCGGCGCACCCACCCGCTACCACCCCGCGTGCGGAAAGAAAAGCTGGAGCAGAAGGGCCTGGCAGATTCAGATCAACCGGGTTGGGTTTGGGAGCACCCTAACCCAAGCAGCAAAGCGAACATCGCTGTTTTCCAATGTGGCCTTTCAAACGTCCAGATTTCGCAATTGGCCGAATTGCTGTGGGCCATTCATACAAACTCGAGCACTTCCTGCTGCCCAGATATTCAAAACCAAGACATGCAGCAAGTGGCCCGTCGCCACCTATCCGTCTAGGCCTTTCAGGGGGACCTTACGGCCCAGTGCCGAGTTGGAAGATGGCAAAGGTGATTGCGTATTGAAGCAAGTGACCAACGCACCTTGGATTTGCTTAAGGAGCTGACAAGAAAAAATGATATTCCCCTAAAGCGCTACAAATGTTATTCACCCACAGGGAAAGCAATTAATAAATACACCCTCAGCTGCCCTAAGACAAAATCGAGGCACTAACATTGTCCATGCTCTTCATTTTCACAGCCCGTGTTACAATCGCTTCGGCGGCAGCTTGTGGTTTTCAAGACATGTCAAAACAATGCTACTACTAATTATACACTATTTCAAACATGTAACAAATCCCAAGACTAATCTCTAATATGTTCTAAATAAGGGTTATTGAACGGGCAACATGCCAAACGGAAAATCATGATTTACACCTAGAAGGGCTTCGCCGCAGCTGTTGCCTTACGCACTGAATGGCCTCTTTGTTGGTGAGGCCACCCTCAAAAAGGCCATCAGATGCTAGCATGACAAACTCTGTGTCGTCAGTGCTGGAGAAAGTGGTCACTTCGGGCTCAGGGAACACTTGTTCCATTCGGGGTTGAAGTCGCCCAATGCTTGGGAGACTGATAGGCCACTTGCTAGGTACCCATCTGAGGAAGTCGGTATCCCCTCCTTGGCCAAACGGGCTGCTTCGCCTCGTCTGGTGTGCGGTCCTTTGTCAGGACCTCAAGCGCGCCTCCTCGGCAGCACAGTGCGCGACAATCACCAAGGTTCGCCACTGTCCCTAAGAGGAACACAGGCGCAAACGCCCGACGATAAAGAATACGCTGCGTTGGAAATTGTTGTTTCTCCTTCTTTCTGACCTTTCAGCAAGTGCTCTGACAAAGCCCAGTCAGCCTTGTCAAAGGCTAGCTTCAATCTCTCGCGCCCATTAGGGCGCCACTCTTTGCCCAGGAGTTTGGGCAGCTCTTCCTTGACAAAGCTGACTGCTTCTGTACCACCGTGGCAAACAAGTTGCCGGTCGCATCCGCGGCATCTTCCATGCGCTCTCTTTGGTTTTTCTTCACAGACCAGCCATGCTGCTGGTCGCCTCCACTTCCGTCCGCTACCAGCTCCTTGCCAGCCCCAAGCCTGGGCAAGCGTTGGTCCCCATGGCTGCAAAGCGACGGGCACCAAACGGTTGTGTCTTCCTGGCAAGGACACTGAATTGATCTACAGGAATACAATATGCCTGCCATTAATGTGATAGTATTATTGGGCATAAGTTTCGTGAATCTTGCTTCCAAACCGAGCGATCAGAACTGACAGCGAACGGGCCCACTGTGCATGTGGTGTCCGAAGAGCCGACGGGGAACGGCGGTCCGGACGAGTCTCCTCTGACCATGGAAGTTCGAAGTTGGATGGTTTGCCGGTTTGCCGTGGACAGGACAAGTGGTTTCAATCGAAAATCGCCGCGGCACCCCACCACTCTTATGCTTCGTCGACCTCCAGCACCTATGGACTTTCTCTTCCGTGTTCTCCCGAGGCTCCGCTGACAGGACGGCACAGGCCATGGCGCCCATGCCTTTCCGCCGGAAGGACTCCTGGGCGCACACCGCCCCAGGAAGACCCGAACCCCCCGGACGTCTCGGACCCGACGCGCCCGACGTGGAGGAAGGCTCCGTGCGCGGAGGCGCTTCTTCCCAACACGTCACGGGAAATGTGTTCCTGTGTTGATGTTGGAGTGGAGAAACGGTATCGCAGGCGCCCAGCCTCCAAAGAGGAGAAACGGAAGTAGGAGAGGAATTCCTCAAGACTCCTCAGATGTCGAGAGGACGGACACGCAGGCTCTGTGAGAGCGTGTGAGATGGCTAACTTCAGGCTGGTTGCAACAGTCAAAGTAGCTAGAAGCTACTAGTAATAAGGGCACCAGGTGTGAAGGACTTGCATGGACACTAACAGATCATCTCGCAGCTGACTTGAGATGATTCAAGCTACAACAGCCTTTATATAAAACGAGATACTGATACACATTAATAAATAAACCGCATTCCTTCCCTCCCTCGCTCGCTCGCTCTCTCCCTCTCACTCTTTTGCGCCAGCTTAGCCCTGCCTAGATCGACGCGGCAAGCCCAAGAAGGATTCGTACATGGCCGCATAATACCTCCCACAGATTCCACCGATCCCAAATATGCGGACACGCAGCTGGAACCCGCAGTTGCAGTGAGGTGAAGAAGAAAACACAAGAAGCTTCTAGTAGCTAGAAGCTACTAGTAGCGATGCACCTGCTAGTAGCGACGCAACTTGTTCCTAGTATGCAGACCTTTGCAGATGCGCGGGCTTGCCAAATTCCCAGGATTTCCGAAGACTATATATAGTGACTATGGGCGTCGACTCTGTTTGTTGCAATGCTCCCAAACTGTCATTTTGTTGCATTGCCGCAAGGAATCATATATGGAATCATCCCTGAGCAATGCCCCAGATTCAAGACATTTCAAGACCATATCTATTGACACAAGTAAGATGTGTTTTTCAACCCTTTCTGTTTCGAGTCCCTGCCTGAACAAGTTCAGATTCTTTCTGCACGAAAGTCGTTCCAGCTTAAAATCCAAAGCTGCCTGGATGAACTTGCACACCTCCTGGCTGTCTACGCCATTTCCGCACAAAGAGTGCTCTAACACGAAAGCATCCAGCCATATCCAGCCCTGCCCCGACTCTTCACAATTGTGAGCGGATATTTCTCAAGCATTGCTTGACTTGTCGATGTCCAGAACATCACGCTCCGATGGTCCAGGGGTCCAAAAAATCCGAGCAGGCTCCCTCTCCTGTCGGTCATGGGCGACCGAAAAAGTGCCAGCATGAACTGGGCAGTTCAACCATTGGACTGGCATGATGAACTCTGCTTGGTCAGTTGCCGAGACAACCTGATCATCGTGCGTCAGAGTCAGACTGGAACAAAACCCAAAAACGAGATAATGTAACGCCGCATTGGAATTTTGTCTAACTTCTGAAAAGACCTGGAATTGGCCCAGCCAAACAATACATTCGCTCCAAAACCTGTCAAGCATGTACATGAACATGCCTGAAAATATGGAAAATACCCGCGTGCTTTTGGTCCAAGCAGCTGATGGCAGAAATGCTACACTAATGAAATAGGTTTTTCGTGCACATGCCCGGACCATCCAGAACACTTGGACCAAAAAAAGAAACATTCATGCGATCCAACTCCCAGCCTTTCCCCCTTGAGGATATCGCGCAGGTGGAAGGGGGGAGGATTTGCGTGGAAGGTATAGACGGTCAAAAGAGGACACAAGTTAAGGAACCCTAAAACCGTAAAACCCGAAGGACACCCACATCTCTGAGCACGCCATGGCACGATAATGGGAAAATCCGACTTTTCGGACATGAGCTTACACCACATTTCTGCCCTGCACCAGCCGCGACCTCGGATGGGTCGCAACGGGCCGCGGTCAAATTGACCGATCCCATTTGACTTCAAGAGCGAGGATGGGGCCTAAGAGCGAGGGAGCACCGGAAAAGCAACAATATGAAGGCATACGTATGAAGTATGAAAAACGAAGAAAGGAGAAAGTAAGTACACCAATGGCCAAGATGCTCAGCCAAGTGAAATAGTTCAAATTCTCCTGTCAGCACTGATGCGCTGTCGTATTGAACAAACAAAAGCCAGAAGGATGAGAGTGGGTCTGAATCCCCAACAAACTTGATGGCGGAAGCTCGCTCTGGTGGACCACATAGCGCACCGGGTGAAAAGACACACGCTGGCCTGTGAGGGGGCACCCTAACCCAAGCAGCAAAGCAAACGTCGCTGTTTTCCAATGTGGCCTTTCAAACGTCCAGATTTCGCAGTTGGCCGAATTGCTGTGGGCCATTCATACAAATTCGAGCACTTCCTGCTGCCAGGCTATTCAGAGTCAAGGCCTGCAGCAAGTGGCCCATCGCTACCTATCCGTCTAGGCCTTTCAGGGCGACCTTACGGCCCAGTGCCGAGTTGGAAGATGGCAAAGGTGGTGGCATGTTAAAGCAAATGACCAACGCAACTTGGATTTGCTTAAAGAGCAGACAAGAAATCATCCCGGCAAGAGACCCCAAACAAAGAGTGTGTGTGTGAGGTGCGCAAGCAGAAAGTCTAGAGATCTAGATGCGTTGGGGTGCAGAGAGGTGATGGTGGTGATGAAGTGAAGGTGGGTGTGAGTGAGTGTGGGTGAGAGGGAGCGTGAGTGTGAGTGAGAGTGGGAGAGTGAGTGCGAGTGCGAGTGTGAGTGAGAGTGAGTGTGGGTGAGAGTGAGAGTGAGTGTGAGTGTGAGCGTAAGTGAGCGTGAGTGAGGGTGGAGGTGGGCGTTAGTGAGTATGGGTGAAAGTGAGAGTGAGTACGAGTGAGAGTGGGAGAGTGAGTGTGAGTGATTGCAAGTGTGAGTGTGAGTGTGAGTGAGAGTGAGAGTGAGAGCGAGAGCGAGAGTGAGAGTGAGAGTGAGAGTGAGAGTGAGAGTGAGAGCGAGAGTGAGAGTGAGAGAGTGAGAGTGAGAGAGTGAAAGTGAGAGTGAGAGTGAGATCTAGAGTGAGAGTGAGAGTGACAGTGAGAGTGAGAGTGAGAGTGAGAGAGTGAGTGAGTGTGAGTGTGAGTGAGAGTGGGGGAGTGAGTGCGAGCGTGAGAGTGTGAGGGAGTGCGAGTGTGCGTGAAAGTGGGAGAGTGAGAATGGGAGAGTGTGAGAGAGTGAGAGCACAAAGTACTGCGCCTGCCACGAAATCTGCACTTCGAGGTTCACCACGGGTTACCAGATTTTACGCACATTTCGCCACCGCCCAAACAATCAAAGCACACTTCTACTCTTTTTCCACTTCCTGTCGAGCTCACTTCAATCGCTTCAGCATGCAGAAG